AAACTACTTAAAGACAAGAAGCCTTAGAATAGTAGAGAGTTAATGGAGAGTAAAACAATTGAACAAATTAAGAAATTCGTTAAGAAAGCTCCATATCCAAGTTATAATTTTGTTGAAGATATGATTTTAAGCAAAGCTAAGAAATGGGAAGACGAAGGATGTATGGAGTTTAAGTTTCATTATTTAATGATGAACTCAGAATATGGACATAGACACCATAATTTATTGAAAGAAATTTATGAAAACATTGAAGACGAAGAATTAGTAAGACGGAACGGAGAAGAAATTAATAGTTTAGGAGGTTATCAAGCGATGTCTTATAACTCCTTTGCTTTTGTTGAAATCCTAAAGTATTTGATTGAAGAAAAAGCAAAAACAAAATTTGAACAAACTGAACTATATTACAAAATGACACTACAACAACAAAACTGTTGGGATGGGATAGGAGATTGGCATATTTAAATAACAATCATATTATAAAAATAATATGATGGTTGTACTTAAAACTACTTAAAGGCAAAAAGCCTTAGAATATTATAGAATGAACGATAGGATTAAGGAGCAGGAAGATGAAATTAAGAGGTATGAAAAAGAATTGAAAGAATTGAATGATGACATTGATTATTATAATAATAAAATAATTAGGTATAATAAACAATTAGTTCAGTTAGAAGAAGAAAAGGGAAGCACTTTAGACATAATCAGTAAGGTAGATATAATATCAATGGTTCATTGTGATATTTCAAGAAAATTAATAGATAAAAGTGTAAAACTACAATGTATTCAGAACTGTAGGAAAGCCATTGAAAGCCTGAGAGTACACTAACTATCATACTATACAAATAATATGATGGTTAAACTACTTAAAGACAAAAAGCCTTAGAATAGTAAGGAGTAATGAAGACCTTTAACTTTGACTTTGAATGTTGTATGTGTAAGGGACATAGACAGCGTAAAGCTGAGGCATTAAATTGTATGTTTATTGAAGACATAACTAATAAAATAACATCATTTTTATCTTGTCATAAATGTGTGGAAATGCACGAGTGTGAAAGAGACTACCAGAAATTAAGATACAAAGATTATACTAAAACCGAAAAACAAATGAACTATATAATTAACAACAATCATTACAGGAAGCTATGGACTTTAAAAGATAAAAAGGCATATTTAAAAAATGTTGTTGATAAATCTGAAAGCAATATGAAACAGTTAATGAAGAAATACATTAATGAAAGCCACCATATCTATACAATTGATAGATTATTAGGTCTTTTAGCTTTTGGTAATCTTGATGTATTTGTTAGGTTTAATTTTGACTTACAAGATATATATTATAATTATAGGAGACAGGAAGAATTAATAATGAACATTCTTAAAGAATTGGTTTTAGTGTTTCTTGAAAACGGAATTAGATGTAGGGAAAGATATTTTAATTTTAATGAAATACAAAAATATGTAATAGATGAATTTAACAGTAGATATTAAACAAATATTTATAATATTAATTTATTATAAATCTTTGGCAAAAGCGTGTGAGGTGGTCAAAACTACTTAAAGAGACAGTGCCTTAGAATAGTAAGAGAGCGATGAGCAAGAACGAGCCCCTTTGTAGGTTTATTAATTGTGATGTTTGTAATGAAATTCTTAATAAGAAAAGTTATAATAAACACCTCAAAACAAAGAAACATTTATCAAATCAAGAAAAATTAAAAACAAATGAATTAGAACAAGACCAACTAAACACTAATTTTAAAAACTATGTGTTTAAACTCTACAATGAACAAATGGAAACCCCAATTAATATTGAAGCGTTGAATGGAATTCATTTTATTGGTAAAGCAAGTTAGTTAAAAACTGAAAAAATGAAATCTAACAAATATTTATAATATTAAATTATTATAAATCTTTGGTAAAGCGGGTGAAGTGGCGATGCCCCAGAAAACGAAGGAGACGATATTATGAAATTTTATAATGAATGAAGGTAGGAATTATGAAGATGATAAAAAAGGGTGAGAAACTACTTAAATAAAAATGGTTAGGAGAAACGGATGAAGCGACGATGTTGATGATGAGGTAAAGGAGAGAACGAAGGAGGAGGACAAAACAATGATAATGAATTAGGCGAAGATAATGAAAGGAATGAAATAGGTGGCGATATATGAGAGTGAATAAGGGGCGGAATATGGTATGATACAAGACCCAGAACCCGCCGTGATACAACCCCAGAGCCCGCCCCCAGAACCAGCCTTTTTACAATTTTTTCCCCCCCCCCCTCCCCAAACAAGCTAAACCTGAACCAAACCCTACCCGCACCCTGAGATACCTGCGTTTTCAGCTGTAAATGTGCTGATATCCTCATACAGTTCCTTCGAATGGCTGATGTTAAGGGTTAAAACCCTAAACACTAGACCCCATAGTGATGCGCCGCTGAGTGGCCAAGGTCTCCGTCCGGGCACCTCACGGCGGAGTAGGTATTTGTGGTCTAGGGTGTCGCGTTTAGGGATATAGGTGCATCGTTTAGGGTTTTAAGTCTAAAGTCTTCAGAGGGTTCGTTGATGTGTATATATATATATATAACACCAGTATGGAATCCGGTCCCAGAAGACCATCCTTATTCTGGTTCTAGGGATCTAGTTCCATCCATATATCTATATACATTGGTAGTATGTACGGACCTTAGGTGTTACCAGTATCTACCTCCAATCGGGATACGTTGAAATGCAGCTATGTAGCTACCTGACACGTACGGTTTGAGAAGGTTCTGCAGGGCTAGTCGTCCGTGGTTGAGTTTGGGCTTCGAGCTTTGGCTACTGTAGTTTTCCATGGTTAGACTAGGGTCTTAGTGCTTTTGGCTCTGCATTCTTTGACAAAAACCCTCTCCGTGCCTTGGCGAATGCGATCTGCCTGCTCCTCGTCCAAGTGGGCTGCGGTGGCTGCCAGCTGGGCCTCAGTTGGCTTTAAACATTAAATGAAGCGGTTTAGGAACAGTTTAGGGCTTAAGGTTCAAGGGTTTCAGGACATTTATAAGGGGTCTGGGTTCTGGGAATTAGGGCTCAGGTCCTCCTTCTTAGAGTATTGTGGAGCTTCTAAAGCAAAAGCTTTTGCGGGATTGATGAGCTTTCTCCAGGCTTTCGGCTGAAGGGCTGAAACAGCTTTCAGGTTAGGTCCCGCTCCGTATGTAACATGTCGGTGCTGATCCAGCTCGTGTGCGCAGTAGCAGCGAAATCTCGAGCTTTTGGACTCTGGCTCAAGCATGAACACGGTTCGATTTGAAGGTTTCTCAGTTGGGGGAGATTTGGATAGTTCAGTCTGCGGGATTGTTTCTTCGATTGCCTCAACTGCGTCTTCATCAGAGCTATCTGACAGACATTCAGTCATAGAACCTCGCCGAAATATCACAAAAGACAGACTTGCGGAGAATCCTGCTCTTGAACAACCCAAGTCCCGAAGTGGGTTTACCTAATAGTCGCCAGTGTACTTCGTTTTTTGGTTTACTCAGCTTCGTATTTGAGTTCTTTTTGCAGTAACTCAAAAAGCAACTACAATGGAGACTAATTGGTAGGGAACTCCTCCGATTTAGGGTTTCGGGGTCTAGGGTTGAGGGTCCCCTAAACCCTCAACCCCTAATGCCCAAAACCCCGAAACCCTGAAACACCGAAACCCTAACTCCCAGGGCCAGGGGCCTCAGGCAGCTTCTGCGCCAGGACGTCGGCAAGTTCGGCCTCCTGAGTCTCTTGCCGCCTGGCCGCCAGCGTGGCCTTGCCGATGAATCTGCCGGAAACTCCCAGACTCCAAAAGTAACGAAGATGCCTTCAATGATAGGGGGTTACTATGACACTATGGTTTGAGGTGTACACCATAATGAAGAGATTTAAGTTATATGGGCGAAGTCTTAGTATGCTTCAAGGTCTGTTGCTTGATAACTGGTTTTGGAGTCTCTGGGTCTTCTGAGGGGTGCCCGATCACTTCTGTGTGTTTTTTTGGTTCCCTTGTGTCTTTTTTTTTGGGGTCGCTTGTGTCTTTGTTTTCGGGGTCGCTTCTGTTTTTTCCTTCTTCGGAAGCAACAGTCTCGAACGAGAGGTGCCTTGGTAGGACCTCACCCCGCTCAGTTTCAGGCTCGGTATACATAAAGTGCAAAGGCAATTAGCTTGCTCCCTTTCTGCGTCCACATGCACATAGTCATGCATGCGTACTCTACGAGGGGGTGTCTAAACATGTGCAGATATTATTGTATATTACACAGTGTACGCATATACGTATACATATATGTAAACATATATGTACACATAAACACATGCAACTAACATATACAGTTTACTCCTTTCAGGGTTTCGTTCTGGGTTTACTCCTCTTAGGGGTTGGGCCTTCTTTCATTAGGGTTTCGTTCTGGGTTTGCTCTTTTTAGGGTTTCGTTCTGGGTTTACTCCTCTTAGGGGTTGGGCCGATTACTCCTCTTAGGGGTTGGGCAGGGTTTCGTTCTGGGTTTACCCCTCTTAGGGGTAGGGCCTTGTTTCATCAGGGTTTCGTTCGGGGTCAGGTCCTACCAAGGCACCTCTCGTTCGAGACTGTTGCTTCCGAAGCAAATAAAAGACACAAGTGACCCCCAAAAAAGGACACACGTGAACCCAACAAAAAGACACAAGTGACCCCCCTTCGTCTTCTGAGGCTGAAGTGCAAAAGCCTTCAACACACTCCACAACTAATGTCAGGGGTGTCCTGCCCGAGTGAAGCTGCCATTGAACACAATCTCGAACCCCATGCAGACTTCCGTAGAAAATCCCTTAACCAAAAAGCTACACCCCCTCAGAAAACAAGCATACAGCCTTTGAGAAGTCTGACCCACCCCCTTATCCTAAAGGACGCTGCTAAAGCGCTACTTCAGAGTAAGAGGCCGTAGTTTCTAGAATCTGGTTTCGGGGTATATGCTAGTACGACTTTGAAACAACCTCAGCAATGAAGCTGTAATGATTCCGGCTCCTTTAACAAACCCAACTGGCCTGCGCCAGCTCCGCCTCTCGTGCCTCCAGAGCTCCGAGCTGAGCCCTTGCTAACATCAGGTCCTCCTGCAAAGCTCAGCTGCAAGTACCGGTCAGGGCCGGGTCTCTAGGGTTAAAGTGTTTATTGCCTTATAGTGCAATATAGGGTCTCTGGGTTTCCACAGTGCCCCCTTACAAATCAAGGTACCCTTTTTCCTGTTCTTCACTTCGAAGACGACAACCCAAACAAAAAGCAAAAGGGTGCTATCGTGGAACCTGGGTTTAGGGCTAGGGTTTGGGTTTTGCCGGTTCACGGCTACTTGTCCGCGAACGGGGGAAGGAATGGGCTGAGGTTTGTTCATAGGGGCTTGAGGCGCAGATTTGTTGCAGGCCTCAGCTGGCCTTGCAACTTGTTTATCAAAGTGAAGGAACTCTAGTCAGTTATCTTGTTCTGAGTTGACAGTGAAGGTGCGGGCTTAGAGTTGTTCAAGCTGGGGTTTGGGCTTCAAGGGTTCTGGGATTCAAGGCTTCATGCTCAGGGTTGTAGATTTGGGATGCAGGGGCCATGTGTCCCTGTGCATTTCTGCGTCTGCATACAATCTGTTTTGTAGTATGAACTGTTTCTTATGTGCATACGTCCATACCTACCTATATGCACCTGTACATACATGTTCACAGACGAACATGCATAGTCCTAATCTCTTAGCCCTGAGGATACACATGCGCTTGCATATGCACAGCAAGCGACTGACATATACATGTATCTGCAAGAGGTGAGCTGCAGTTACTGTCATGTGGTGCTGCTGCTGTTGTTGTTGTGGTGGTGGTGGTTGTAGAAATTGCCAGCGCTGGTGCTACTCTCACTGGTTTACTCTCCTCCTTCTGAGAAAAGACTACGACGCCGTCGAGCACGACTGACTGAACTTTTCCATCAAGAGCACCCGTTCGGGCCGCCACAGCCTCCAAACATCATCAACGAAGCGACAATTCCGAACATCATGGATGCCACATGCTGTTCGTGAATGCCGCCACCGTGGGCCATCGTCGACATCAGCATTTAGCAAACACACACACACGCACAAACACACGCACGCATCAGCAGATGTGTAGCAGCCTGATGTTTTTGTGTTCTTCTTGGTACCCTGCCTTGCATCGAGCTTATTCAGTACTATGCATACAGTACCTTTATTGGTGATGTTCCCGTTGAAGTCGATCTTTGAAAGCTCTATGCCCTGAACCCATGGCCCTACAACCTGGAAAGATCCTCCAATTCTTTGCCGCTGTCTTCTTGGCTGAGAACCTGCTCCTGCAGTTTCGTAGCTTTCTCCTGGCATCACGGGTGCCCGACGTGAGCCAAAAGAAGGGCCTCTGCTTCTTTAAGTTCAGCTACCTTCTAAGCGCAACCAAATCACTAAAGCAGGTTCTGCAGGCCCTCGACACAACCAAACCCCTTCAGGCCAAATGCGGAGCGCCACGTCGCGGGAGTGTGTCTCCCAGTGCTCTTCCGTCTGTGCGATCTGGGTCACGTGCGCCCCAGCCTTGGCTGTTCTTGCTGGTTGTCGCTTGTTGCAATAAGTGGTGAGTTCCAGTGACGGCTAAGGCCGGCTACGGCTAGGGGTACAGGCACTAGAACTACTTCTAGCAGTAGTACTGATCACCGAAGCATGTATTCGTGTCGCACACACAGAGGACCTACCAACATTCAGCTGTAGGTGCCTTCGGTCGATTGGGCGTCACTTTCTCAGGAGTGGAAAGCAGAAAATGCCTAGAATCGGGTTTGATGTAGTGTCTTCGACGCACCACTGCAAGACTCATGAGTGGACACCTAGGTGATGTATGCAAACGTAGATAAAACTACAGCTGCTCTGTGTCTGCAGGCGCATGCAAGATACAGCGGCATGTCAAAGCACACCTGTGCCTGCAGCACTGCATGTGTACCCACATATTCATGTGTGAACATGCGGTGTATGATGTACGTGCATACCTACTTGCAAACACATACATGATACGTGCATACCACACATGCACATATACATGCACATATACACGCATATCCCTTATGCACACATACATTCACTAATACGTACATACATACATACATACATACATATATACATAGGCAGACAGACCAACCAACCGACCGAAAAACAAACAGGACAAACAGACGAATGCGTGCGGCATGCATGCATGAACATCTACACATACAGCAACATGCACATGAAGGTGCATAGATGCAGACACTTATGCCTCACTCACATACACATATCCAAACACAGCCACAGATTCGATGCAACATGCATATGCTACACACATGTCCCTACACGTCTGCCTGCCTGTAGATACAAACACATGTCAAGCGTGCTTCTCCAAGCATGTGTGGGTTGATTCATTGGGGTAATGCCCTGATCTGCTCACTAAGTGCCCTTTATGAACCCGGAGGCTCCTGAAACCCTGAAGCATGCAACCACCCAAACATCCGAAGGGCTGTTCAGCGAAACTCCTGAATCAAAAGCTGCCAATCCCCAGCCCCTGAAGCCCTGGACCCACTAAATACCCAACCTTGAATCCCGAAGTCCTAAACCCCACACCCCCAAAACCGCAGAATCACTGGACCCTGGAATCGCGATAAACGGCAACACGCCAATCAAGCCGGAATGAAACCCTTCTAAACCCCTGTTTTGTTGAAAACCTCGTTTCGCTGGAATCCTCCATGAATTGGATTTTAGAATCCCCCATGGTTAACTTAAGCGAGCAGGCTATACAGCCCAACCAAACCTTGTCTGGTAAACCCTCCTAGACCCTAAATTTTAAACTGTCAAAATCATGCCTACCGACCGAGAGAGAGGACCCATTTCTACCCTTCCTAAACCCACCTACTCCATAGAAAACCTGTCTGCTATTTGGGGTAAGGTAAACCCTTAACAAGCCCAAACTCTGAAGCTCTTGACGCTTGAGGCGCCCCAGCCACTGAAGCCAGGTTACCCGAAAGTCTTGCTATAGCTTAAACCTACACCCCTTTCAATTTCCGAACTCTGAACCCTCTGGGCACATACGACAAAGAACTAATCCAAGAACAACAAAGCACAACAGAAACACTGTTGGAAAACACCGTCGTGATTAAAGCCTGAATCCAAGGTGCTTGGAAGTCTTCCAACTCGGTGCTTAGCCGGTTCCTCTCTTCAGCCAAGTCATCGAGGTGGCTGAAGGCCTGCTGTGCCGGGCGTGCTTGATGATTTAGGGATTACCTGGACCTTTGTTAACCTAACCTCTCTGGGGTCCTTATCATGTTTTCTTAGAATAATTAATCCCGAGAAGGTAGGTTATTTGGGTCAGGGTAAGGCTTCGTAATTAGAGTCTCTAAGTCTCTATTGTATTGTTGTTGGGTGGTGGGTGGGGCTGTGGAGCGTGCGGAGAGGGGGGGGGCGCCGGTCATGGTGGTCTTCGTCGCATGATACGTTTCTATGCGTCGAAGTGTCACATGGGGATTGCTTACAACACAAGTTGACCATAGACTTGCATGAGCATAACATTGTCTTCCCGCAGGGTCTGCTTGAATGCTGCGATCCTTCAGCTCAGCGACTGTCCACTCTTCTTAGACAGGGGTTGCGTATTCAGGGTCCATGAGCCTCAGCCGTGCCTGAACCTCCGCCGGGAACCGTTCCAGGGTTTTGGTTTCTGGACTTTTCTAAAGGCGCCTGGTGCTAGAGTATCCTCGAACACTCGCGAGACTTATGAGTATCAGGGCTTATAACATCCCAGAGAACCCTTCGGAACTCTCGACAAACACCTGTAAAGCCTCCATAGTAGGGTTTCGCCTTGGAGACAGCGTACAGAACCCGACCAACCGCCGGGGTGGTTGCCACCATGTGCCAAACCCCGTGAAAACCAACACCAAGAATAGCAATGCATGTCGATGTAGTCGATTCAAGTGTTTCTTCACCAGGGCTATCTGACAGACATTCAGTCGTACAACCTCGCCGGAACGTCACAAAAGACAGACTTGCAGAGAATCCTGCTCTTGAACAACCCAAGTCCCGAACTGGGTTTACCTAACAGTCGCCATTGTGGTTCCTTTTTTGGTTTATCCAGCTTTGCGTTTGAGTTCTTTTGCAGTGACCCAAAAAGAAACTACAATGGAAAGTATGGGCAGGGAAATCCGCCGATTTAGGGTTTCTGGGTCTGAGGTTGAGGGTCCTCTTCAATTTAAGTAAACAACTAAACCCACAAATCCAAGACCCGGAAACCTAAACCCTAAACCCATAAACCCCTGAAGCCGAAAACCTGGAACCCCGAACCCCTAAACCCTAAATCTTGTAGGGTTTAGGGCCAGGGGCCTCAAACACGCTGCTTCTCCGGCTGGATCTAGCGCTTTCCTTCTCGTCTTTCTTCTCCCTGGTCTCTGGTTCCTCCCCCGGCAAAGGGCCAGCTTTTGCTGCTTCTGCACTGCTTTCCTTCGCGGTCGGAGGCGCCATCTCGACACTCAACGCTCTCCCCCTCGCGCCAGGTTCCATGCCGATCTCTTCAATCGATTCTGCCGCAGAGCTCGACACGCCGCTTCTTCCACTGGATCTAGCGCTTCCTTCCCCCTCGTCGTTCTTCTCCCTGGTCACTGGCTCCGTCCCTGGCCCTGAGTCATGTTGCGCTTCTTCTGCGCTGTCTTGTGTCGCTGTGGGGGGATCCGTTTTGGCTCTCAACGCTCTGCCGCATGAACTGTCCCTCGCCAGGGGCTCCATGCCGACTTCTTCAATCGATGCTGCCACAAAGCCCGACACGCTGCTTCTCCGGCTGGATCTAGCGCTTTCTTCCTTCTCGTCCTTCTTTTTCCTGTTCACAGGAGCCGCCTGCGGCGCACTGCTGCGCTTCAACGGCAAAAGAGGGATCGTTGCATAGACGCTCACGCTGGAGGGATCCTGGGCTTTGATTGAGTCTCGGCCACTTATTACCTGGAGTGGGGGTCTTACACGTCACCCTGCCACATGTCTCGAGATCGGACCATTCATGCCCCTGCGTGTTGAAAGCGGTGATCGAATCACGACGATAGTGGAAAGGCCGAAACAGAAACGTAACTAATCCTCACAGGCCACGTCGTTGACATTGAATCCACTGCCCCGCTCCCGCTGCGAAGCCAGATCTTCTGACTGAAGCCCGAGGTCCTGAATGTTTTCAAGAACGGTTGCATAGCAGGGCAAAGCATCGTGGACAAGAGCACGCACCTCGAGCGGTAGACTCATGATGCCTGAACGGGCAGCATGGGCTCAGTAGGTTTCGGTAGTCTTGCCAGGGCGGCTTTAAGGAAGCAAAGTTCCGAATCGTCCCGGCAGGGCACCTTGAGATAAAACCCCGCTGTCTTCTCCGTAGGGCCTTACGCTGCTCGAAGTTGAGACGAAGGTTCAACACGACATTGTCGCAGTACAGTGACTGAGTCAGCTGGCACAGAGCCTTCTGCTTCCACAGCCTGTGCACCTCAGACAGGTTGCAGATAGCTCGTGACGCGTAGAGCCATGCAGTGCTCGTCGTGGCTGCGCAGGCCGTGACCGAGTCACTGGCCCGCAGGACGTGTCGCTGTGCCTGGGAAGTCCTCACCGGAGTTGCTTCCATTGGATTGCAGGCGCTGATCCTCAAGACCCATACGATGTGTTACGGCCCCAGTGATTCCAATCCT